GATTGATGTACTCCTCGTCTCCCTCCGTTCCTTGCTCCGCCACAGTAGGCAGTCGTGACTGAATACCGGACCTAAAAACATGACTGCAGTGGAGGACGCGCTGTGGGGTTTGCGGCAGGGCGGTCTGAGGTTGGAGCGATATGTGGAGGGTTTTCTCGAGCTCTCTAACCGGGTGAGCTGGCACGACGCCGCTCTCGGTGCGTGCTTCCTGCTGGGGTTGGATGACGAGATAATCCGCTGCGATCTTCCGACGTTTGATTTTTACCCTGATCGAGCTGATTAATCTTGTGCTGTTCTTAAATGGTTCTGATTTCGAAGTTGAAGTAAAGAAATTTCCCAAGCCTCGTCATCCAACTCCCGCTGGAACGCGTCGCGTCTCTGATTAATCTTGTGCTGTTCTTAAATGGTTCTGATTTCGAAGTTGAAGTAAAGAAATTTCCCAAGCCTCGTCATCCAACTCCCGCTGGAACGCGCCGCGTCTCCCCAGCTCACCCCACGCCGAGAACCTCCACATACCTCTACCGCCTGCCCAACCCCAAATTCCCCGCTGTCCTCCGAAGCTCCACTGTGGTTCTCAGCCCAGGAGCGCCGGCCGCTCGGAAGTCAAGACGGCCGGCCTCTCAACAAAGAAGCTCGCCGGCCGCGCTGTTGTCATGTCCGCCGGCCGCGGCTCACTCTAGCCCGCCGGCTGTGCCGTTGTCAAGCCCGCCGGCCGCCATTGACGCAAGCCCGCTTTGTTCCGTGTTTTGTGCTCCCCATGTGCCCTCCTTGCCCGAATTTAGTTTCCTGTTCCTGTCCTGATTATGTTGATTAAATTCCAGGTGTTCCCCGTTTATTTCCATTGATCCCAGGTGTGTCTCGTCATCCCCTCGTCTTATCATGTGTTTAAATAGTGTTCCCTGTTTTTAGTTCAGCGTCCGGTATTGTTCATGTCAACCTGTGCTACGTGAGTTTTCCTTGGTTCCTTGATGTCATTAAAATTCTCTAGATTGATGTACCCCTCGTCTCCCTCCGTTCCTTGCTCCGCACTCCACCACAGTCAGCAGTTGTGACAGCGTCACTTCCAGTTCAGGCCTTTTGTATGTTTCTTTAAATATGGAACTGTTTTACTCAAGATGCCTTCAAAGAAGATACCAAAGATGGTCATAACCAATGTCCATCACATATGCAGATTGATATCTAAAAGTTTTTTATTTTTCTTCTTCTCACTAACATTCTAATATTAAAAAAGAATAAAATGCCAACAATAAAAACAGCTAGCTAGGTTAGCTGATTACCTTACAAGTCCTCAGTTCATCGGTTCAAACTGCTGTTAACACTTTCTACAACAGGCAATAAAGGAATGTTTTAGTTGTGAAGAACACGACAAGTTCACTGAGAATTAACTAAGTTTTGATCAGCAAGTCATGTGCATTTGGTTATTCTGCAAATTATAGACTGTACGTACTCTTTTGGGCACGTGCCAAAACATGTCCAACTTGCATAAAATTAATAAGAAATTCAAATGTTGTAAAAGCAACACTTCAATTATCTGAACTTACTGTTTTGAGAGAGAAAAATCTCATTCAAGAATTGAGCCAAGCGATTGAGAAAAACCATTCTATTGTACACTAATATTTAATAACTCTAAAATTTTCCTGCTAACACAACACTTCTTTAACATGACTGTGACAGCATGCTCTTTGTATTAATGCAGATATAGCTAGTCTTCTTCTCTTTCATCAATTTTATGGCTGTCAGTAAATAATTCTCACTTCCGTTCTCAATTTTCCTCACTGAATACTATCTCGGCACTGATCTTAATTCTGTCTTAGCCTGTGGCTACTGTTCTAACCCTAATGATTGGTCTAGGTTGTTACTTCACCTCTTATAGGAATGGTACCTTCCAGTCTCTCCATGTGCATGAAAAGTGACAACCATGGCTCCCCCTATTTCTTCCTAATGGGCAATCCTAAAGACACGGTTTGTAACAGAGTGCATGCGTTCTAACACACCAGTCATCATTCTTTCTTGGAGTGCTGTGGTTTGGATTGGTTTTTTTATATATATATTATTTATTTTATTTTGTTTATTTAATTTATATGTATATAAAATATATTTATACATTATAGCATATATACAGTTTTAAACATTGTGTATTTTGTATCTGAATCTGTGTTAGTGAATGTAACTCACATGAACTGTAACCTGTCTTTTCATAATATAATATTATTAGTCTTAGTTTTGGTATTCGGACATTATACGCACAGAGTACTTATAACACAAGCACAATAATCTTCATTCATTCACCACAGTCACAGTTGTGAGAAAAGGGTTATTTCAGTGTACATTTTGAGCAATGACTCAAATTAATCATTGAGCTGATTCTTTGAAGCAAACAAGCAAACTTATTCACATAAATGAATCAAATTTCCCAAGTTTATTGCCATTTTAATTAAGTTTAAATCAGAGATCCTATTCAATTATCTCTGCATTAGCGCTCTCACATTCAAGTTGCAAGCAAAACTGTCCTACCGCTGTAGTCTTTAATGGTCTAATAAAAAGTGCATTAAAATCATTGCGATTTTATATCACCAACTAATAATATTGTATATATTCTGAATATTCAATATATTGTCTATGTATACTCCTATTCAAGTCATACAGTGAAAGCATATGTCTAGTAAAATTCACACACTGAAAGAGAAACCGCAGATCTACCCCTAGACGCACATACACTCTTAGCATTCTTGTAACTGACTCTCCATTGTGATGAAAACTTAACTCCTATGAGCTCCTAACAGCCATTGAAACAACCCTATGCGCCCTTGCCTTTGAATTCCGCTCACACTTGGCCATCTCTTCTCACACATTTAGTATCCCACTGAGATCTCAGTGGCGCCACAGAAACCCAGCTGAAATGCAGTCATCATGGGATGGTTGTGTCAGCCTCTACGGTTTTATATTCCATACCCGTCTTCTGTTTCACAGTGAAAAACCCTTTATGAGCTTGGCCAGTGATTTTTGCTACACTTGGGCCATATAAACAAGAGAAATTTACCCCAGTTGAGAAAGAAACCGCTAGCGCAGAGACACAATGATACATAATTGCTTACACTTGCCATATTTCCCTGTATTTGAAGCTTAATGATAAAGAGATGCTGTTGTAAGTGTTGTTTTCTTGTGTTGAAATGAATTCCCAGCCAGTTCGCTTGTTAGCACACATTAAAATGGCCGCCTGGGTGCATATGTGCTTTGTAGGTTGGCAGAAAGCTGAGCAGTCCTCAGTGTATCCTGTGATATACGAGGAGACAGGTAGGATTAGGGATGTATAATGAGAATATTAAGGTTGGTGACCCTCTTTCAGTTTGGGTTGTGAGTGTGTTGGTAAAATATGCTATTGTGTATTGGGAGTCTAAGGAGAGGAAGTGTGGAGATGTCACTCCAATAAAAGAATCTTGGTGTGAAGTGATGTCTGTGTGTGCATGTGTGTGTGTGGAGGTTGGGCGGATAGCATAAGAAGCCCATGGGAGAACCTGATTATTCTACTTCCAGTAGACACACATGAAACTAGCTTACTGGCTGAAAACTATCCCATTTCCTGTCAGAAATGGAGGTTGTTTTGGTATGTATGCAAACAATATCATATAGTGCTTTGTGTCCTTACAAGAAAAGTACTATGGCATTTCCATGATGCACAGTTGGTAATGGACCATGGTACTGTGTAGTTACAAGGTACTCCAACATACTCCAAACATACTTTGTGTAATTATCATAATACAGATCCCATACTATTTGCATGGTACATTGTAGAAAAAAGCCATGGTAATATCACGGTACTTTGCATATTTTTTGTCATGGTTTGTGTGATTTTTTATTTTTTTGGTTTCCCCAAACAAGTTCAGCGCAAATCCCACCACTCAACCGATTCTAAAGATTTCATTGGTCATGTAACACACTGCTGATTGCCTACACAACATTGAAAGAATTACTAACCCCTAACCCCAACCTACTGTAAGCCTACCCTCATTTAAGCATTGGTATTTTGATAGATAGCATTACTGTTTGTCACTGAATCCATTACCATTTGAACTGAATCCATGAAGTCTGAATTTTTCTTGAGAGGTGACTGCGTGATTGAGTTGACAGATGAAATTAGCTTGCAGGGTAGGGTTTGCGCTGAACTGGTTTGGGGAGTGTGTGGTTCATGTTCGTTAGATAGTAATTCTTTGCTAGTGTTAGCTTTGGTTCCACTAATCTTCCTCTAGTGTGTTTCCAATTGTGCTTCTTTCTGTTTTGGTTTAAATGTTTGGATGTAACTGTTCCATGTTTCTCCAGCAGATAGTCCCGCCCCCTGGGATGCTCACACTACAGCCTCTCCAAGTCTGTCGGAAGTAGCACCACCCCTCGACAGCTTATCTAATCCATCAGCTTCTTCTCATGTGAACCCACCCACCGACCCACCTCATACATCGTCCTTGGAAGCAGCAGGTCTAGACTGTTCCCAGGGTCCTAGAGGCCCAGAGAGTAGGGCTCTGGAGCAGGCCAGTGTGGGGAAGAGGTCAGCCCTGACAGGTGGAGTTGGGGATGGGACCAAGCAGAGGGAGGGCAGCAGGACCAACCGTCGCTCTATTGGAGGGAAGAGTCAGCAACAATACCTTGATGAATTTGCGGGAGAGCCCAAATCCCACAAAGGCAGCCAGGCGAAGTCCAAGGAGCGCAGGAGGGAGCGGAGCAATACACCGTCTCGAAAGCGAGACTCGCCCAAAACTTCTCCAAATGACACCAACATGAATGGGGGAAATGGATGCCTGGATGGTAGCAACAACCAACAAGGAGCTCTGGTGCCATTCAAAGCCCAACCAAAGGAACCAGAGAAAGGGCAAATTAGCCAAGAGAGTCGTCCCAGCCACAACTCCAAGACCAGCAGCAGTGCATCAGGCAGGAAGGCCACAGTATCCCCAGGGCCCTGGAAGATCCCTGGTTCAAACAAGCTACCCAGTACCCTGCGCTCTGCCACCTCCACCATCAGCAGATAACATCTTATCACAATCTCAGGCCCAAGTTTAGACCTTACTTTTGGCCTTGACTTCTTTTGGCCAAATTTTGGACCAACCTTTGGCTATGATCCGCCTTGTTTTGGGACTGGACGGGCTCTTCTTGATTGCTTTACACAGGCTTGCTCTACTTGAAAGCAATCGTTTTAACCTTGACTAGGTACCACCCTCCCACAATACTCACTAAAGAACTTTCCATGCATTTCTAGACAGAGCATTTTTTATTTATATTTTATTCTAAGTTATTTTAACAGATATGACACCCACCACCTTAAGAACTGGAAGCATTCACTCCAAAAATGGAACCACGGTAGAATGAGTGATGCATGTAGCGTGCAAAAAGATTCTCAGACTTGTTTGAACTGTTGGGGAAAAGCACTCAAGACTCAGATATGTACATGCATAGAGAACCACTTACTGAGTCTGAACCACCTCTGGTGGCTACAGCAATTTTTATACACTTTCATTAAAAAAAATGAAGAATACTGAAGGAGTTGCCTGACATACAGTTTTTGTGTATTTGAAGAATGAATATGATTAAAAAGATTCTATATGAGTGGACACTCGACTATGAACTCTGCCTTAAAGACTGACCTGCAGATGTCTGTATAAGGGTCGGTAAAATGAATATAGAAATAGATATATTATATGACTACATGTATGTGAGACATATTGTAAATATGGTCTTTACACACCATTGTGAGCCCATACTGAAGTACTGATATCATACACAGTGTAAGTTAGATGAGTGTAATCTAGAATTCATTCCTACTCCACTTTAAGGTTCGTTCCCACTGACATTGATATAAACTTGAGTGGTTGCTCATAGGTGTTTCTACTCAACTTCAATACAGAACTGTAACAGGAAACGGATCACATGGCCTTCAATGTCTACACTGACATCGGTAGTTGCTGCAGCCTCAAGTTGTCTCTTAAAATCGTAAACTCTCATTGATGATTTATGACAACCGGTTGCTGCAAATCGCTGTCAGTGTGAGTACCCAATTTCTGAAGGGGCCAATGGGCTTTGACCTTCTCTTGACTCTCAATCTATTCTCCCTTTACGTGAGTACATGAACAAAGCAATTTGAGTCCAAGATGGTTTCGATGAAATGGTTTGATTAGGGCAGAGTGCCTTATGCCAGGGGTGTCCAATCTTGCTCCTGGAGGGCCACTGTCCTTTAGAGCTTAGCTCCAATACTAATTATATACACCTGGACCAGCTAATCAAGGTCTTCGGGATTACTAGAAACATCCAGGCAAGTGTGTTGGGGCAGGTTGGAGATCAACTCTGCAGTACATTGGCCCTCCAGGAGCAGGAGTGGACACCCCTGCCTTATGCTGACCACTTGATGCTTTATTTGAGCTCTAAATCCTAATGACATCAAGACAAAGAAAAACTTAGGCTGCTATAAATTCATTGGACTACTTGTTCCGTAGAAACTGTGCAAAAGTAATGCCAGATCTGAATAAGTATGCCGTTACATCCGTGTCTCTGAATGCTGATTGGTGTCTAGAGAGACCAGTTTATGTCCACAGTATAGATATATCAATATAAAATTCAAAGCTATTTTCGTACATAGAAATAGAGGTGAGAGTCTTCTAAAAGAAGTGCAGATATTTATTAATGATATCTTTGACAGGAGTTCAAATGTTTGTTGAGCACTTTGTCTTTAAGTAGACGTGTACATATAAAATGCAGTACTGGAAAGAGTATATGCTGTGCATCCATGATATTCATTGCATAAGTTAATTCTCAAAATCCTGCTATGAAACTATGTTTATTAGCATATTCCCCATATAAAAGGTTAGTCTCTAGTTCACATGATTCATGTCAGGGCTTCAACACTCCTCTCCACACAAGCGCCATGCTTGTTGTGAAAACGTTGTGCTTGATGCACCCTTCACAAAAGGGTGATTTTAACAAGCTTGCTAATAGCAAATTCTGAAAGTACATGAAATAGGTAATGTATGCTATTGTCATGCAATGTTTTTTTTTCCTCAGAATGTCATTATCCATCTTGTGCTGTATTTTGATGTATCTACATAGACACAGCCTCTACTAGCTAGTATGCTAAGATGTTAGCTTGCTAATCGAAGGCTAACTGAAAACACAAAGAACCAATTAAAAGGTCTCAGCTTATGGAATTTCTTTGACATTTATTTGATTATGCTTTGAAAAGGCCAAAGTAAATGAGGTCAAAGTTTAAATTGTTTGAACTTTAAGTGTCATGTTAAACATCTGTGTGCCACACCCCTTACAAAAATTTACCCCAAAAAAATAAAAAACATGGTTACTAGTTAAACCATGGTAACCACAAATTGGCCATGGTTTTGCTACACTAGCCATAGTTTAACCATGGTATTTGTAGTAAAACTCTGGTTATACAAATGGTAATCTATACACCAAAAAAATATGGTTACTACACTTTTATTATAATAAAACCATGGTTAATTTTCATAAGGAACGGCAAGGTGGCTAAAGGCCCACTCACACCAAGGATGATAATGATGATAACTATAAAGTTGTAATAATCATTCTAATTCTATGAGAGTAGGGTAATGATACAGTATAACGATGACACAGAGAATCACTTTCAGAACAATTTTTTTTCCAGCTGATGAATGATAAAATCACTGACAACCAGAATCAGAATCCACCACTTTAAAATTGAATTAGCATTTAAAGCAGCAGATGACATAACTGCATTGGTCGCTTACAATGAACATAATGTTATTGTGCATTGACATGGATGCTAACTTAGTTATCGTTATATTTATCGTTCTTGGCGTGAACAGGACTTAATCACTCTAGATTGATTCTTTGCTCCATTGAATTGAATGGATGGGGAACATTGATGTAACCAGTTATTGTAAACAACTGGAATGTTAAGGTGTAATGGAACAAACTTTTCGTTAACATCTGTACCTCAGATTACCTTATTATCCTGTGTGTTCTTTCATAATTCACTTTTTATGAGTTCAATTGCCATTAATGTCACAGTCAGTAATAAATACAGCATTTCACTTGAAGGTGAAATAGGTCATTTCTGTGCAACTAGTGGCATCCAACTGTAGTTCTGGGCTGACAAAACGATATGGTCTCAACCAATTGCATGATTTTGAGGGAGTGTCTTAATTCATGATTTTATACTGATTTTATAACCGATAATGGCACAGAAATTACACACTTCACTTTAAAAAAAAAAAAAAAAAACATGTCAAGACCCCAGTGGTGCTTCATTGTGTATTCTTCCTGCAATACTGTCAAAAATGTTGTACAATTATTCACAACTTTTATAATTTTGTTCACTTTAATTAATATATACATGTCAATTCAAGTTCCTGTGAAAAGGACCCCAGACAAGACCTCATCCGTTCTATCCATTGTCATAATATCGTCTCTATTATATTCATCTCCCACAGAAATAAAGCGATGACGGGTTCCACTGACGCTCTTTGACAACTGTTGTAGATGACAAGGAGAGCCGACAATGATCTAGTCATTACAAGATAGTGCTAACATTTCCCTGATAAAGACAAATTAATTGAAGCAATCCAAAAATGAGTGTGCCTCTGTGGCTATTACATTCCGAGCGGTACATCCTTCGAAGTCACAGACATACAATGACATTGTCAAAGCAAATGCATTTTCTGTACCAGCAAAGATTGTGTGTGCATATGAATGAGTTGGATCACTACAAACGCTATGATATCTCTAGAAATTTGGTTTAAGTACAAAATAAATTTTATGAATAAGGAACAAGGCATCTTAAGACCAGAAAAAAACACTCTATGCAAGTACGCGAATGCAGAAACAAATTTTAGCGCATCGTAAGTGTGCGGTTTCATTGTACATCCTTAGCATCTATTTTTCGCTACTATAACGCTAACAAACCTCCGTACTCAAGGGGGCGACAGAGTTACCTTCAAATGTTTTACTATTGAACAATGTGTTGTAAAGGTGCATTCAAACTGTTTGGCTAATTGTTGTGGGTGAAATTCACTTATTTCAATAGAAATCTACGCAATCCGGATTTTGCGAAAGGGTGAAAAATTTCGCCACAGATTTCGCGACAGGTTCAAGTTAGTCTGCTCGATTTGAAAGTGTCTTCTGTGTTAGCTGTACTTTATACATCGCTACTAGTGACAATGAACCCATTTGTCTTTCTCTTTCTGAAAATTTATTAGTGGCTCTTCAAAACTTAGAAACTTCAAACTTTAGCTACATTACAAAAGTTGGCCCTTAAAAAGAAAACTGATGCTAAATTATGCTAATACCCCATTAAGAATGCAATGTGTTACGTTATGAATTGCATTCTGACACATTTTGCAACGCAACAACAAGACAAAAGGTGATTAACTTGCGTAGTTAGCAGCATTTGCATTCATGTACTTGTTTAGGCTGTGTTTCTGGCCTTAGGGTTTCTTTTTCTTTGTCATTTTGTAGAGTAACGAGTTTGTTTAAAGAGAGAATAGTGTCAGTGCTTTCACACTGCTTTTCCGTTGATTTTGTCTTGAGTTTGCCAAATGCTAAAGAGATGTTACCTAAATGATTCAACCTGATAAATAACATGATTTAAACGCAATGCCCAAAAGGGGCTCTGTATCACTGTGTAGAACTGAAAGAACAGCGTGGTTCATCCTGTATACAGCTAAAAACTATAAATATGACACTATGTACTATGACCTAGTCACAAAAACTGTAAGTTGAGCTATTTTTATGAAATGCAACTCAATGGATATATACTTACTTTTGCAGAGCTCTTGTTTACTGTATGATATTTACTGAAATACTGTCAAATAAAACCTTGACATGGTGTAAAATGCAAGTGTTTTGTGAGTGTTTTACTTAATTGGCGGTCTACACCGGTTTCCTCCTGCACGATTAACCGTGTGATTGTGCAACCAGTGGTTAAAGGGTCTTTATTTGAAAGGAAATGCTGAAGTGTATGCTGGGTAGCAGTGACATAATTACACGTTTATTCAAAGAAACACGAAAAAAACTTCACAAACTGAACTTTGGTCACTGTGCAAAACACTACATGAATTTCGTAAAGAATCGGGTTCTTTAAGAAATAGACATTTCAAAAGCACATAGATGATTTATTTAAAATATAGATCTCGCAATACTGACTTTTTTCTCAATTCTGAGATATAAACTCACAATTGCGAGTTATAAAGTCGGAATTGCAAGATATAGGCCTAAACTCGCAATTCTGAGAGAAAAAAAATCAGAATTGCGAGTTTATATCTTGCAAATCCGACTTTATAACTCGCAATTGTGAGTTTATATCTCAGAATTGTGACTTTTTTTCTCAGAATTGCGGGTTTGTATCTCGTAATTCTGACTTTATAAGACGCAATTGTAAGTTAAGTCAGAATTGTGAGATATCAATTCACAATTCTGAGAACATATCGGTCTTTTTCCCCCTCAAAATTTGACTTTATAACCCGCAATTGGGAGTTTATATCTCACAATGTTGAGAAAAAAGTCAGAATTGCGGGATACAAACTCGCAATTGCGAGGAAAAAAGTCAGAATTGCGAGTTTTTATCTCACAATTCTTTATTTATTACAATTGCGAGTTTGTATCCCGCAATTCTGGAAAAAAAAAATCAGAATTGCGAGTTTATATCTCGCAAATCTGATTTAGGCTTATCTCACAATTCTGAGGGAAAAAAATTGCCAGAATTTTGAGGGGGGGGAAAAATCAGAATTGTGATTTGTGAAATGAAAAGATTGAGATGAGAATTATTGTTTAATTTATTTATTTATTTTTCAGTGGCGGAAATGGGCTTCTGTAATTTAATGCATTCTTGCGGAATAAAACTTTTAGTTGTCGTTCTTAAAAAAAAAAAAAAAAGTAATAATTTAGCTGAAAAAATCTCACTGAGCTCAAACTTTGGAATTATTGTGCTGAGGCATATATTCTTGTTAAAAGCATGAGTAAATGTCAATGTCTTGGTGGAAAGGCCTTTAGATCTCACAAAAGCATTCCGGTTGGATGCAACTCAGAGTTCTTTCTTTTCAAGTTTCACATCACAAAGAGAATTCCTTACTTTCTGTTACAGAACTTTCTCTTACAACCTAAAATTCTTTAGTCCCGCTAACTCTAGCTGTGCTAAGGAAGAAACGATTTTACGTCCTCTAGCAAAAACTGTATTTACACAGACTTGGTTTGGCATTGTCTTTTTGGTTAAATGTTTCTGAAAAGGTTCCAGGTTCCATTAATTGACAACAAGCCTCATTATAGGGTCAATTCATTATCTTTGTGTTTAGTATCTTTGATCAGGGAAAATAACAGTGCAAAGTCTTTAAGGTATGTGGCTATAGAAATTGGCTTTCAAAAATAAACCCATGCCCCAAGAAATATGCACTGAGCAGGTGTGACAACTAACCCCTGCCATTCTTATATAGTAGGCTACTATGAGAAATAATTACTTGACATTAGTATTCATAACTACGTGACATTTGTACGGAGAATCCGTTAAATAGCCACCGAATACCACTCATAAGGCGTGACATTTCAATTTATTTATAAATTAAAAAATAATCCCATCATACATTTGTCATGTCATATGCCACTAATGTAATAGATACAAGTTGAATTGGATTAGGCTGGAAATATTTTTGAAAAGATATTAATGCAATATAATCAGGACAAGATTAAATGTTATCCTAAAATTGCAATGTACATTTCAATAAATTATGTGACAATGAAAAAAAAGGCACATTGCGATGCATGTGATTCCTTCTATAGCCAGTAGGTAGCAGTACCTGACAGACGGTGGTAATTTTGTACTCACTCGTTCATCCGCGCCAGAAGGGGGCAGTGTGAAGTAATGATAGGCGCAGCTCAGAAGAAGAACGAGCCTCAGAAGTGAAGGTGCAAAATCCCGTGTGCTAGCATCATTGGCTAGCAGTTGTGAATTTACGGACAACATGGACTGGTAAATATTACGTATTATTATAGTGTTATTGTTGTATGAATGCTATCTGATTATTTTGGCTACTTTATTTGATTCGTGATTTGCTATTTACGTTATCGTAAGAACGTCTCCACATGGCAGTTGACACTGTCAATATAATAACACACGAAAGAAAATAAAATATAGCTTTTTATTCATTATTAATTGCCAAACAATATGTAACTTTAGTGTTATTTTACGTAAATACAGCATTGAAATAACTTTTATGTTGTTTAAAAAGACTAATAACGTTAGTTCTTTAGCTGCGTTTTGACAGTTCATAGCTAACGTTAGTTAATAATAAGCTGTATTTGTTATATGAATATATTTTACAGGCCACTTTGAGTTCGTTTAGGTTTTTGTGTGTGAGTGTAAGTCTTTGTGAATATACAGTTGTTAGTCTGAAGACAGAAGAATCTGTGTTCAAATGTATTTGTGAGCATGTGGCATAAATATGGAGAATAGCCTAATGATATAATCTTGAAAATTTAGTCCTGGTGTCTGTATTTTGTGCAGGAATCAGACCTGGTTGAGTCCATTGGTTCGGGACACTGAGGTGACCCGTGCTGCCCGCAGAAAGAGTTCACACAAAAAAGTTGCATGTATCCTTACCAAAATCATAAGCCACAGTCAAGTCATTACATTTATTTATGTTGCACATTACAATGCAGATAGTTTCAAAACAGCTTCACAGTGATAAACAGAAAAATAGCATTGTTATTTAATGGTACAGAATACATCCATTTTGATTCAATTTTAGCTATAAAACACCTCTACATAATAATGGCATTATTTAGCTCAATGCTTATTCAGTTCAGTAAGTGTTAACATTGCAAAGGTTAGCAATTATAAAACGAAAAGCAGCTCTACAGAAGACAATAGTGTTGATGTCCAGCTCAGTTGAGGTCAGGTTTTTGCAGTGTAAGTACAATATATCTGTGTTGAAACTATGTTATAAACATGTAGGAGTTTTTTTTTTTTCCTTTACTGTGTGTTCAGTCCCACTGGCACAGGATGAGACTCCTGGCACCAGCACTACCCCTGCTAGACCACTACTGCGCCAAACACCTGGATCTCTCCTCAAACAAACTTGTAAGTAAACAGCTTTTGCTCTCTATCTATATACACTGAACAGAATTATAAACGCAACACTTTTGTTTTTGCCCCCATTTTTCATGAGCTGAACTCAAAGATCTAAGACTTTTTCTATGTACACAAAAGGCCTGTTTCTCAAATATTGTTCACAAATCTGTCTAAATCTGTGTTAGTGAGCACTTCTCCTTTGCCGAGATAATCCATCCACCTCACAGGTGCTCTGGCGAGTAAACAAAAAAATATACTAGCCAATGGCGATTCAATTGCCAAGGTGTCCGTTGAGAGTTGATAGAAAAAGTTCAGCTCATGAAAAATGGGGGCAAAAACAAAAGTGTTGCGTTTATAATTTTGTTCAGTGTAGATATAGATGGTGCATGCAAAAACACTCTGATGCGGAAATGACCAATCAACTCTTTCAATAAATAATTTAAAAAGAATTTAAGTAACATAATCATAATCATAATCATTGTTGATATGAATCTTGCATTTAATTAACTGGCTGAAAGGTCGACCAATTACTAAGCAATGCTTAATTTTGTTCAGTATGTGGTGTAAAAAGGGTCACATTAGCAATTAAAGAAAAACACTTAAACAAAACATGGTCAAGTCAAAGTGTCTGAATAATTTTTGGTCCCAAATTTTCATCAGTTTTACTGGTAGTGCACTATATGAAGTGGTATAATATGTCACGGTTGGAAAAACCCTTATGATAACATGTAGAAAGAAAAAAACATCTTAAGCACGCAGAATAACATTAGTGGACTTTGAACGATTAATTGCCGCTTTGAACCATTATGTAATTGTGGCATCCATAATTGTAATCGCGATTAGAAATTCAATTAATCGTGCAGCCCTACTGTAAATTATGTACAGTCACCCCAAGAAGTGCCCTCAGGAACCCAGATGTGTCGGCCATCCTCGGGACAGGAAGCAGAACTCCTCGTTTCGTTAACACACCCCGTACTAAAGGCAGTCTGAGCATGGTGAGTGACCAGAATTCATATGAACATCCTTTATTCATCCTGACTCTGTATATTTAGCTTGTATGATGTAAGTGGTAACTGTTTTGCCTGGGGTTTTTGTTTGTTGACACTTCAGAACTTGGATGACAGTGATTGGACGAACAGTCTTTACCCGTCTCCTCTGTCTGGACTGGTGGACACCAGCTTCACTGAGGATGTCAGCATGAGCGCTCTCATGCTAAAGGAAGATGATCCCGGAGAGGCTGGTAAATAATCATAATGATCATCATCACCACAAATGAAGTGACTGGTTTACATGATTTACAGCTCTCTCTCTCCCTTTTTCTTCTCCCAGCTTCTCTCGGTTTGTTTCCTGATTTTTTGCAGTCATATTTACGTCATGCATCCACAGATGTGTTTGATGTGTTTGATGAGTATGAGGCTCTCTGTCAAGATAAGGTACATGCCTAGTAGTTCATAGACAAGACTGGGAAGACTGGGAACGTGATTTAAATTAGTTTCATTAAGTAGAAATGAGTAATCATTTACAATATAAATTTAATATATAATATAAGTTATCTATCTTTTTTAAATAGAAAAACTAAATGTTTTGAATGGTAGCTAAATGAAAATGTTGCCATGGCAAGCTGAAAAAAAACTCCTTCCTGAGATTTGTAATGTGCTGACCTGTATGGTAGGTTAGAATGTTGCAGAAAATGGT